CTGGGAGAGTTCAAACCCCCAGCGCCCCGACCCTGGCCCTGACCAATTAGGTCAGCACACCTCAGGGGTGCTGAAAAGCTCCTCAGGTCATTCTCAGGTGCCCTGGAGGTTGGAGCCACATTTTGTGAATCATTCAGGCCTCTGCTCACCTGTCACCCCACAGAAAGGCTTTCTCAGACCAGCCCACTGAAAGAACCTGCTTATTTTCTCTTCCGAGTACGACTGATGGCTGAGATTACGTTACGTGACAGATTTATTTGTATGTTTTCATCGTCTCACGGGCTGTGGGCATCATTTAGTCATCTGCTTTGCTCACCCCCATACCCCCAGCTCTGAGAACTGCACCTGTCATACAGGGGACACTCACTGGAAGGTTCCTGAATGAATGTATTAGCAGGAAGCAGTTTTTATACGTTTTAGGATCCAGTGACGGCTGTGGTGGATGCATAATGTCTATAAGATTGCAGAGGAGAGGAGAGTGGATCAGAGTGGAGCCTCGCCCTAACTCCAGGCTTTGGAGGAACAACCTCCCTGAGGTTGTCGAGTCCCTCGACGTTACCGGTAGATGGCCCAGCAGAGTGTGGTGCACAGCGCCATCTGCTGGATAAAACAAAAGCGGGTTTGTTCTAATGTCCTGGTGGGTTGTTTCAAAGCGGCTCTCCTTGGAAGAGAGCAGAAGGCAAGCCTCATCCTCAGCACATTCACCAGTTTGAGTGAAGCACCACGATGGATGAGTGTGTGTGTGTGTGTGTGTGTTTGTGTGTGTGTGAGAGAGAGAGAGAGAGAGAGAGAATGGAGACAATGATTGAGATTTTACCATGGATGAAATTGTGGGTGTGTGTGCACGTGTGGACAATGATGAAGACTGTACCTAAAGCACAAATGCAAAACCAAAACCCGCCACTCCTTTAGGATTGATCCAGGCAGCGAAGAATCGCTGAGTCCGTGCCAGGAAAGTCACACCTAGGAATCTTCAAGTAGCTCTCAAAAGTGAAAAATGCCAAGCTCACACTCTGTGGGAAACACTGCTCTCTCGCCCCTTTCCACATCTGTTGCTCTGAGGCCAGACTGAAGTGACCCCATAAAGGGCTAATTGATGGTCTTTGATCAATTTCCTGGAGCTAAAATGACAGAGGGCCCAGCTGTTAGAAGATTCCAAGTACTTAAGCGGATTTCCAAATGCTTACCGCATGTTCGGTAAACTTCAGACTAGTTTAGTATTTTTTTTTTTTTAACCTTTATTTTTGAGACAGAGAGAGACAGAGCATGAATGGGGGAGGGGCAGAGAGAGAGGGAGACACAGAATCGGAAACAGGCTCCAGGCTCTGAGCCATCAGCCCAGAGCCCGACGCGGGGCTCGAACCCCCGGACCGCGAGATCGTGACCTGAGCTGAAGTCGGACGCTTTAACCGACTGAGCCACCCAGGCGCCCCTAGTATTTTTTTTTTTTAACATTTATTTATTTTTGAGACAGAGAGAGACAGAGCATGAACGGGGGAGGGGCAGAGAGAGAGGGAGACACAGAATCGGAAGCAGGCTCCAGGCTCCGAGCCATCAGCCCAGAGCCCGACGTGGGGCTCACACTCGCAGACTGCTGAAGTCGGACGCTTAACCGACTGAGCCACCCAGGCGCCCCTAGTTTAGTATTTTTATACCGTAACCTGATCTTTAGAAGGACAGCTCAATAATCTCTCAGTCTCCCTCAGACAGACAGACAGACACATACACACCCCTCACTTACACCCACACCTCCCCATATACACACCCCTCACACACACACACACACACACCCCACGTACACACCCATCACAAACACACACACCCCACATACACACCCCTCTCTCACTCTCACACACACACACACACACACACACACACACACATCATACAGGTACACACAGGATTTAATATACTTAGAAGTTTCCTTAGACCCTTACAAGAATATTTATTTCTATTTCAACTTGAAAACATTGGATAAGGCCAGAAATAATCTCTGGGGGGAACAGAGATTATTTAACCAGGAAGGAGAAAGTTAATTTCATAGAACCTTCAAATGCACAGGAGGCCTTGATTAGAGAAAAACAGGACTATGATGCGTGTGCGCTCGTCATGCCGTGTGGAGGCTTCCACCTTATGGGGTTCTGTTCAGGGACATCACGCTACCCTGTGTGATAGCAGATCATGTGACAGAATTCTAAGGTCTACCAAAAATTGTTATGCCAAATATGGGCACCAGCTGTTCTCCAAAGTACAGAGGTGATAACAAGAACAAGAACAACAAAAATCAGCCTACAGTGTGGCTGGAGAAGCTGAATTAAACAGCAGGATGAACTTCCCAATAGTGAGATACCACGTTCTAGACCAGGTCATGGAGAGAAGCTCTGAAATACCTTCTCTGTGTCTTTTCTTTTTTTTTTTTTCTTTTTTTTTTTAATTTTTTTTTTTTGAACGTTTATTTATTTTTGGGACAGAGAGAGACAGAGCATGAACAGGCGAGGGGCAGAGAGAGAGGGAGACAAGAATCTGAAGCAGGCTCCAGGCTCTGAGCCATCAGCCCAGAGCCCGACGCGGGGCTCGAACTCACGGACCGCGAGATCGTGACCTGGCTGAAGTCGGACGCTTAACCGACTGCGCCACCCAGGCGCCCCTCTGTGTGTCTTTTCAATGTGTGACAGATACTCATTTGAGATTTCTGGAATTGAAGGTTCTCAGGAATTGGAGGAAATGAAAAAATAAGGAAACCCGGCAGTCGTTCAGCGAATATTTAACGAGTGCCCAGTCTATGTCAGGGCCAGTCCTGGTCCCTGGGGGGCATGCAAGCCTGTGCATGACCCAGTCCTGCCCCTCTGGGAGCGAGGCATGTTGCCAGTAGGCACTAACCACCCCCAGGAGAGGCTGCCTCTCATGGGCATGACCAGGTTGTCCTTGACCTGAGGCTGGAGAGATGGGTCGGATTTTGTTTGACAGGACAGCTGAGAGGGAGACGAGGGGGTGTGGGGACCGGTGAACTGGGAAAGGTAGTTGTGGGTGACCGCGAAGGCCAAACTGAGGAATCCGGACTTTGTTCATGAGCAACAGGATGTTAATTATGACCTTGAAGATGCCAGTGGTCAAAAGGAATGCTGTGACTCACATACGTTCTGAGCCTGGGTGTTGGGTCTCATGGGTGTCCCCTCTGTGTCCTGAACATCTGGGTACAGGCACGAGGGGACCGCTGGGTCCTCTCTGGGAGAAAAGGTAGCTGTGGCCCAGGAAGATGCCACCTCCCTCCAGACACGCTTGAAACCCAGCTCGGAAGGCATAATCTGAGCAGCATTGCCTTAAAGGGTCATCAACGAATTTCTACTTTATGATATTTGTAAATTACAATCTTCTACAGATGATAACCCTCTATTCCAGATACTAAGAGGTCTATAAATATCTTGCTATTTTTCGGGGGGGGGGAATACCTCCCGCCTTGGTATTTTGAGACTGGTTTATTTCCCTTATTTAAAATTTTTGCCTACACTCTAGTTGCTCCCTCTGATCGGCCTACTGCTATTTGGAGGCATTTAAAAAACTGAAGTCCTGGGGCGCCTGGGTGGCTCAGTCGGTTAAGCATCTGACTCTTGGTTTCAGCTCAGGTCACGATCTCATGGTTTTGTGAGTTTAAGCCCCACGTCGGGCTCTGCACTGACAGCACGGAGCCTGCTCAGGATTCTCTCTCTCCCTCTCTCTCTCCCCCTCCCCTGCCATTGTCTCTGTCTCTTTCAAAATAAATACATGAGCTTTAAAAAATAAAAATAAATAAATAAATAACTGAAGTCCTTCCAATATTTCTGGGACAAGAGTAGCAAAGTGGTTAAAGTTGGGCTCTTGAGTCAGACTTCCTGGGTTCGCATCTTAAAAACAAATTGTGGGGGCACCTGGGTGGCTCGGTCGGTTAAGCTTCTGACTTCGGCTCAGGTCATGACCTCGCAGCCAGTGAGTTCAGGTCCCGCATCCGGCTCTGTGCCGACAGCTCAGAGCCTGGAGCCTGCTTCAGATTCTGTGTCTCCCTCTCTCTCTGTTCCTCCCCCACTCACACTCTCTCTCTCTCTGTCTCTCAAAGATGAATAAATGTTAAAAAAACAAAATTTAAAAAAATTGTGGACATATTACTTACCCTCTCTAGGCCTCTGTTTCCTCATCTGTAAAATGGGCCTAACAATGGTCTTACTACCTGAGAGGCTTGTGAGGATTAGTGACCTAACACACGTCAAGTGATTACAAGTGCCTAACACAGAGTCAAAGCTCATACATGCTCCCTTTATCACTTTGCATCCTGTACTTGGGCCAGAGTCTGCTCCTATTTGGTAACAGCTCACCTGGTAACAGCACACCTGCCTCCTGATTCCTTTATTTTTATATTTTTGATTAAGTTTATTTATAACTGAAATAAATAGAGCTGGGGAGGGGCAGAGAGAAAAAGGAGGGCAGAGAATCCCAAGCAGGCTCCAAGTTGTCAGCACAGAACCCAGCGCAGGGCTCGAACTCAAAAACTTGAGATCGTGACCTGAGCCGAAACCAAGAGTTGGACGCTTAACTGACTGAGCCACCCAGGCACCCCACCTGGCTCCCGATTCTTGCGTCGGGAGCCTGCCCTTGTGTGGCTCCTGCTACCTTCTGGCCCTCAGCTCCCGCCCTGTCCCTTTGCCTCTGTACCCAACAGTACCAGCCTCTGCTAGACACGTGCACTCATGGATGCTTCCATGCTTTTGGGCGGATATTCCCAGGAATTTGTACATCTCCTCTCCATCACTCAAACCCAACACAGGGGTCACCTCTTCTGTGAAGACAGCTCCCTCCCCACACTTCCCTCTATCACGTGTTCCCCCCCCCCCCCCCCCCCGGAGACCGCGCCATCTACTGTCGTAGCCTGGGCCTTACTCGCACTCCTGTTACCACGCGCACGGCGCTGATGGGTAATGGCAGCTTCACAGGCCTAAGACCCAGTGGACACCTAATAAAGGTTGGCTCACCTGAACCAATTTGAGCTTAGACGATCCAAACTGGAGCTCTAGGCGTGTCAAAGATGTCGTCTCGGGCAATGTGAGGTGGGAGTCGGGGACACCCAGACCCGATCAGCAGCATTCCACAACGCTTCTGGCTTAGTTAGGGACTCTGTAGGCCTGCAGGTGAAAGAACAAGATAAATAAGAACAAACACGTGGAGCTGGTAAATACAAGTGTAAATGCTGCACATGGGATGGGGTGAATTCGAGGCTGGGGTAAGGGAAGCTAAGACTTGGATCTGAGGAGAAGGTGCAGGGCGAGGCAGGCAGTGTGGGCACGGCAGCGCCTTCGAGAAACCCGACAGTCCCAGAGGGAGGACACACACGCCCTGTGCGGGTGTACTGCCTCCAAACGAAGCCAGGTGAGGGTAGGGTTTCGGAGTAAGAATCACAAGGGGAAGACTACCAGACATTCTTGGGCAAGGGGCCTTCATAATACAGGTCCTGTTCTGCTAGTTTTTAAGTGCTTTTGATACAATTCTTTAATAATTATTTATACAATGAATAGCAAGGAAGGAAGCGAAACAGACGAAAAAAGATGAGCCACGGACTCAAATGGACACCTGTGTTTGAATCCCAGCCCCACTACCGGCTAGTTCTGTGACTTAGGCATGTTCCTTACCTTCTATATGCCTCAGTTTCTTCAGCTGTGGACTGGGGATGACGCATGCTTCATTTGGGGGCAAGGTCACTTTTTCGAAAGGTATAATTTACATACAACAAAAACTTACCAATTTTAAGTGTTCAATTTGATGAGCTTTGTTTTACACATGTAATTGTGCAACCACCACTGCGGTAAAGATGTTGAGCATAATCACCCTAAAAAGTTTCCCCCCCGGGGGCGCCTGGCTGGCTCACTCAGAAGAGCATGAGAGTCTTGATCTTGGGGTTGTGAGTTCGAGCCCCACATTGGGTGTAGCGGTTACTTAAATAAATCATGAGGGGCACCTGAGTGGCTCAGTCGGTTAAGCGTCTGACTTCGGCTCAGGTCATGATCCCAAGGTTTGTGAGTTGGAGCCCTGCATCAGGCTCTGTGCGGACAGCTGTGCGCCTGAAACCTGCTTCAGATTCTGTTTCTTCCTCTCTGCCCCTCCCCTGCTCGCACTCTGTCCCTCTCTCTCTCAAAAATAAACATTTAAAAAATAAAGTAAAGTAAAATTAAATTAAAATAACTAAACTAAACTAAACTAAATAAGGGGTACCTGGGTGGCTCAGTCGGTTAAACAGCCAACTCTTGGTTTCAACTTTGGCTTGGGTCATGATCTCATGGTTTGTGAGTTCGAGCCCTGCATTGGGCTCTGTGCTGACAGTGAGGAGCCTGCTTGGGATTCTGTCTCCCTCTCTCTCTCTCTGTCCCTCCTGCACTCTCTCTCCGCATTCCCCTTAGCAGTCAATACCCCCCTTCCACGCCAGCCCCTGGAAGCCAGTGCTCTGTTTCCCATTATCACAATTTTGCTGTTTCCAGAATTTCATACACACGGAAACATACAGTATTATAACCTTTGTGTTCTATTCTCTTTTCCCCGACTTGGTGTAATGCTTTTGAAATTCACCCACGTTGTTGCTATTATCAAGAGTCTCTTCCCGGCCAGTTCAAGTACAGTGGTCTTTATAATGAATTGTCACAACCAGTGACAGGTTTCTTTCTTTCTTCTCCCCGCCCGCTGCCTCACTTGATTAGCCTGAAGTAAAAATAAAATGAATAGTTCATTCCTTTTTATTGCTAGGGAGTTTTCTGTTTTGTGAACATTATGCAATATGTTTGTCTGTTCACCAGGCGATGGACATTCAATTCCAGTGTTTGGCTATTATGAATAAAGCTAGGACAGGCATTTGTATACAGGACTTTGGGCAGACATACATTTGCACTTCTGCAATGTAAGTGCCTGAGGGTGAGAGTGCTGGCCATATGGCAGGTGTACGTTTAACTCCATAAAAAATGTTTTCCAAAATGGGGATATCATTTTACATTCTCACCAGCAATGTATGAGAGTGCCAGTTACTCCACATCTTCACCACCATTTGGTGTTGTGTGTCTTTTAAAATTTTAGCCATTCTAGGGGCGCCTGGGTGGCTCAGTCAGTTAAGCGGCTGACTTCGGCTCAGGTCATGATCTCGCGGTCCGTGGGTTCAAGCCCCACGTCGGGCTCTGTGTTGACAGCTCAGAGCCTGGAGCCTGTTTCAGATTCTGTGTCTCCCTCTTTCTCTGACCCTCCCCTGTTCATGCTCTCTCTCGGTCTCAAAAATAAATAAATGTTAAAAAAAAAATTAAATAAATAAATAAAATTTTAGCCATTCTAATGTGTTTGCAGTAGTAACTTATTGTAGTTTTGATTGTCATTTGTTTTTCTGGTAACACTTTTTATGTGCTTAGTGGCCATTTATGTGTCTTCTTTGGTGTAGTGTCTGTTCAAATATTTTGCCCATTTTTTTTTTTTTTTTTGTATTGAGTAGTTCCTTTTCTGAACTATATTGAGTGGTAACACTGCTTTATATATATTCTGGATACAGTCTTTTATCTGATACATGATTTGCACATATTTTCTCCCATTCTGTGGCTTGTCTTTTCATTTTTAAACAATGTGTTTTGAAGAACCAAAGTTGTTCATTTTGGTGAAGTCTAATTTATTAACCTTCTCTTCTATAGTTCATGTTTCATGTGTCCAAGCTAAGAAATCTTTCCCCAGCCCAGGTCACTAAAATTTTTCCTGTGTTCTCTTCGAAAAGCTTTGAAGGTTTTCTTACCCTTAGGTCACAGGACCCATTCAGGGTTAATTTTTATCTATAGTGTATGATAAGGGTCAACATTCATTTTTCTTTTCTTTTTTTTTCTTTTACATATGGATAGTCAACTATTTCAGCCCCACCCGTGGAAAAGATTATTCTTTCCCCATTGAATTGCCTTGGCTTCTTTGCCAAAATCCAAATGGCCATGCACATTTCTATTTCTGAATTCTCTAGTCTGTTCTAGGACCTATATACCTATCTACATCAATACCACTTTTGATCATTGCTGTAGACTTAGAACACACCTTGAAATCAGCTAGTATAACTCAGATGTTCTTCTGCTTTAAAATTGCTTTGCTGGGGCGCCTGGGTGGCACAGTCGGTTAAGCGTCCGACTTCAGCCAGGTCACGATCTCGTGGTCCGTGAGTTCGAGCCCCGCATCAGGCTCTGGGCTGATGGCTCGGAGCCTGGAGCCTGTTTCCGATTCTGTGTCTCCCTCTCTCTCTGCCCCTCCCCCGTTCATGCTCTGTCTCTCTCTGTCCCAAAAATAAATAAAAACGTTGAAAAAAAATTAAAAAATAAAATAAAATTGCTTTGCATATGGTACCTCCTTTGCATTTCCACGTATACTCTAGAACCAGCATGTCAATTTCCACAAAAGCCTGCCAGGATTTTGACTGAGATTGTGTTGCATTTATATATCAAAATTTGGGGGCAATTGACATCTCAACAATATTGAGTCTTCTGAACCATGAATATGGTATATCTAGCCGCCTTTAATTTTTCTCAGTAATGGTTCATGATTTTCAATGTACGTGACTTATACATGTTTTATGAAATTTCGAATAAAGAATTTAATATTTTAATGTTATTGCCTATGACATTTTTAATAATTTCAGTTATGATTGTATTTAATAATACAAACAATTTGTCTATATTGTTGTATGCTGTGATCTTGCTAAATTCACTTTTTAAAAGAATTTTTTAAATATTTATTTATTTTTGAGAGAGAGAGAGAGAGAGAGAGAGAGAGAGACAGAGTGTGAGCGGGGAAGGGGCAGAGAGAGGAAGACACAGAATCTGAAACAGGCTCCAGGCTCTGAGCTGGCAGCACAGAGCCTGATGCAGGACTCGAACGCATGAACTGAGAGATCATGACCTGAGCTGAAGTCAAAGCTTAACGAACTGAGCCACCCAGGTGCCTTTAAGTTCACTTAAAAAAAATTTTTTTTTAATTTACTTATTTTTGGGAGACAGAGAGAGGCAGAGCATGAGCAGGGGAGGGGGAGAGAGAGAGGGAGACACAGAATCCAAAGCAGGTTTCTTCTGAGGCCTCTCACCTTGGTTTGTAAATGGATGTCTTCCCTGTATCTTCACATGGTTTTCTCACTATGCATGTCTACGTCCAAATTTTCTCTTCTTCTATAAGGGCACTAGTCATATTGGAGTATGACTCACCCTAATGACCTCATTTTAACTTAATACCTCTTTAAAGAAACTATCTCTAAATAATGTCACATTCCGAGGTGCTGGGGGTAGGACTTGAACATATGAATTGGGGAGGGCAGGCACAATTAACTTATAATACTCTCTCTCTCTCTCTCTCTTCTTTTGGAACTTCAATTTATAGGCCAATTTATATTGTTCTACAGATTACTGACACTCTGTTCTTACACTCTTTTTTTTTCAGTGTTATTCCTCTCTCTGTTTCATTTCGTATAGTTTCAATTGTTTTGTTTTCAAATATGCTAACATCTTCTTCTTCCACGTCTGATTGTGCACTTTTTATATTAGAAATTCCATCTGGGGGGCACCTGGCTGGTTCAGTTGGTTAAGCATCTGAAGCCTGATCTCAGCTCAGGTCAGGTCATTATCTCACAGTTTGTGGGTTCCAGCCCCCTGTCTGGCCCTGCACTGAACAGGGCAGAGCCTGCTTGGGATTTTCTCTCCCTCTGTGTCTGCCCCTCCCCTACGCATATGCACACTCAAGCTCTCTCTCTCTTAAAATAAGTGAATTCACTTAAAAAAAAAAAAAAAGAAATTCCATTTGGGTCTTTTTACGTCTCTCATTTCTCTCCTTGTCACATCATGTTTTCCTCTGACTTTTTAAACATGGATTGTATTTTTAATAGCTCATGTACCGCTCATATCTGTTAATTCAGTTCTATCATCTATGCTATTTCTGTGTATGTTTCACTTACACGCTTTTTTTTTTTTTTTTTGGTTTATGAGTTGTATTTTCCTTCTTTCCATGTCTAGTAATTTTTTTTAAAGTTTGTGGACCTGTAATCTCTCTCTCTCTTTTTAGTTTATTTATTTATTTTGAGAGAGAGAGGCAAGGGAGGAGAGCAGAGAGAGAGGGAGAGAGAGAGAGAGAGAGAGAGAGAGAG